GGAATGTAAGTTGTTGACATTAGGGGAATCTGCATGAACAGAATAAAGGGACTGCTGCCACTATTTTCGTAATTCTTCTACAAATCTAAATTTATTTCAAGTCAAAAAGTTAAAATAAGGAGAAGCTGTCTGAGTACTAATCATGAGTCCATTTTTAAAGAGATATTTTTAAAATGACCAGATAGACTATTATTAGTGAAGGACAATTCCTTTGTAAGGGCAGTATCAAAGAAGATAGAGATTGTTAAGTAAAATGTTATTTTTCATGACTCTTAGAATGACAGGCATTGCTACTGTGTCTTTATAGTGTAGGCAGACCTCTCTGATAGTCTCTAAATAGCTCTATATCTTGTGTAATCTGGTGGTCCTTGGAGTTAATGTTGTTGGGAGTCTGGCTTCTGATAAGCTGTACCTTAACAAACATGGCTGAGCAAATATTCAGTCAAAAATATTCTTTTTTTGTGTGATGCTGGAGATTGAACCCAGGGCCTTGACCATGCTGGCCAAACACTCATCTAACTATTCTACAGTCTCAGGTCTTGAATACTCAAGTTTTAAACTAGTGAAAACTACTGTGACTAGTGGTACTAATACATAAGCTATGGATCCTAGGGCCAATTATTACCTACAATGACAGACCATATTTATATGTCTATGTAGCAAATTTTATTTGTCATAATATCATTGTGCTTATGATTATATATAAAGTTTGAAGACACAATGTAGGCATGTCGTATGTGAATTTTCTTCCACTTGCAATCTTTTAGAATTATATATGAATTGACATGACTGTCCTTTGACTATGACTCCTCCTTGGCCTTAACTAAAAAGTACTTGTTGCAAAACTACACAAAGTGCTGAGTATGACAGGAAGACATGATTGGTGCTGATCTGCCATAATGAAATAATGATTGCATTTACATACTTCCTATATAGCAGGTGCTTATCACACACTCTTCAAGAATAGAGTGGAAGTTTTAAGACATGCCTGATATTGCTGAAGCAAAATATGGTGGCTACAAAAACATTCACAAAGTGATAATATCTTGTTAAATTTAAGGGACATTTATTGAAAATGGCTAACCAATGATTAGCATAGAGACTCATAACTGGTCAACGTGCAGAGAATGAGACTGCAGAGTGCTTAGCCCTCAATGGGACACCTATATCAAACCCTTGCCTCCCAAGGATCAGGGATCATTGGGGAGGAGGAGTCAGAAAGATTGTAAGAGACCGAGGTGGTAGATAAATACAAGGTAAGTGTATGAATTCATAGTAATTATGACAGCATGCATAAAGCCCATGTTAAGATCAAGCCAGACAAAATCCCAGCATATGTGTGAGGAAGTAGCTAAAAAGCCCTAACCCTAGCTGAAGAACTATAAGCAATCGATGGCTGCTGGGAAGTGGAGAGTAAGTTTTCTTTAAGGGTGTGGCACTGGATAGGCTGACCAGGCTCCATTCTTAAATGCACACTAAAGAGCATCTGAGAACACAAAGTAGACTTCATATTCCTTAAAAAATAGAGGATATTAAATCAGGTGGAGATAGTAACAGGGGTATGTATATGCAGATATGGGAGAGAGTCTGAATATGATCAAAAGAGTCTAAAAAGTTGATAAAATATTTTAAATGCCAACCCAAATCAATGGCAAATTGTATTACCATGAAATCAGTATAGTATGGATTAAATGATACTTTGAAGGGAATTTTGAAATAAATGTACCAAGAAAACAAGACAATTGAGTCAAAAAGAGCTACATACCAACATGGCATGAGTCTCTTCTGTATAGATGGAAATTAATCTATAGACTTCATAAGCCAGATTCCTATCTGACGATGGTGAAACCTTTATAACCCAACACTCAGCATTCATGGAGTTATGTGCACAGCACATCAGCACAATGCAGTGCCATCCATCTAGCTCACCTTTCCTATTTCCATGACCATTCCTCATTATGAGGATATCTTGTCTATTGTGCCTATTATGTAGGCAAAGAACCATCTCCTGTAGAGTAGCTAGTGCTAATGGAATTCTCAGAAAAACAAAACAACAAAAAATGAAAGCTGCAGCCCCAAACTCAGATGATTGCTTCAGTTATTTAACCACTTGTGGAAGAAGAAAATAGAACACAGATGAATTTCAATGATTCTTCAATTATACAAACTCAAGAGGGGCAATAAATGCTATAGCAACCATTATAGTATGTTCTTTGTGTACTGCACATATGACAGTGGTACAATCCACCTGGGTCAATCACACTCACTTTAATATATGTTTTCCTGCATATCCTGGGAAATAACAGAACAAAAAAGAACTACAAAGCTTTTATGCTGATTTGGAAAGCCAATGAATGTTCTATCTAAATGGAAAATTAAACAACAGTGTGAAAGGCTTTGTGTATCTGAAATATTGAGGTTTTCATGAAAAAAAAATTTCAGAGAATGTAGTGATTATGCAAATCACCTTTATCCCCTGTGTCTGGTCATCAAGATATTAGCATAATACACTAATTATTTTAAGAACAATGGATCTGGGAGAGTATGTCGCCTATTTAAATAATTAAGTTGTTTACTTATATTTATTAGTCCTTATCAATTTAGTACCTGAATTAAACATTTCCCAAGCTTTAATATGCAGGCAGTACATGTGTTGTAAACAATTACCTTTCGTATTATTTTCCTCAAAGTGTTTAGTTTTTAGTATTCTTTTGTCTTTAAATAGGAACACTGACCTAACCTAAAGGATATCATGATTAGGGTGATCACATATCTCTTCCCATAGTCTATGATACTTAGACAATGAATTCTGCACCACAGAGTAAACCACAGAACTATGATATTTAGCTTGTAAAACTAATATCAGTCATAGCACTTAGATTTGGGCATGTCCATTTGGTACATGAACTTGCATTTTTAAGTAATAAGGCCTAGTTAAATAAAACCCTTTTAATAGCTCCTACAATAAACATTTAATTAACAGCAAGATGATAATTATACTTAATTCACTTATGTAGTGATGCATCATTTTTTTATTTGTGTTTTCTCTTTCAAATGTCCACAGTTGTTGTAAAAGTTAGGTAGAGGAGTTGTTATGTATCTATTAAAGACAAAGTCAGTCTAAGTTTGAAGGAGTAAAGAGCCCAAGGTCAGATATAGTAGTAGGGATAAGACTATAAGCCAGCTTTCCAGAAACAATATGCATAAAAAGCCTAGTACAGGGCCTGGTCTTCTATGGACACTACTTCTCTATCCCAATGCTCTTTTCTACTTCAAGGTACCACCAAGTCCTTTAAAAAAAGATTGAAAGTAATACACAGAAAAGAACTGTAAATAAAGCATGAGACCCAAATGAAGAAACAAAATAAGATTTTAGTTATTATCTTTGTCAAATAAAAGAGTCCAGAAATTTTCAATGTTACTAATTATCTTTGTTCCATTATAATATGTTTTCATTCTTGAGCTTGTATGGTCTAGAATAAAAACCAATAACCATGAGATAAGTAAAAGTAACTAAAGAGGTGCTGAGCACCTCTTATCTGAAAACCCAAGATCCTTCTGAGCACCAACTGATGCCAACATGTGGAAAATTCAATATCTGACCTCAGGTAACAGGTACAGGCAAGGCACAGGTGAACTAAAAATACCATATAAAATTACATTTGGGTTATGAGTATACTATGTATATGAAACATAATGAACTTCATCTTAAACTTGGGTCTCATCCTGAAGATATCTCATTATGTATATGAAAATATTACAAAATTCAAAAACTCTGAAATATGAAGCACTTCTGGTCCCAAGCCCAAGAGCTGCTCATAGTAAATCATTTGCAACTGGATTCCAATGAAACAGTCACACAAAAGAATACACCTCTAATAGACAATGCAGTCATAAATAAAAAATGTTAATGAGGTAAAGTAAATCATGATGAGAGTAAAACAGTATCAAAAAACTTAAAAAGGTTCTTGTTAAAATGTTTTCACTTGAGCATATTTTTAAAATAATCACTTCAAGTGCACGATGCAAATGTACTCATTAAACCAAGAACCTATGAACACTTTTTGCTTCTATGATTTTATTTGTACATTCTTTTCCTTATTTTAAGGATAACTATAAATAGAACATAAAAATACATCCTTATGTTAGACAAACATCTATATCCTATTATATATAAAACACCTTACCTGCACTCATGTTTTGTTTATACTTAGGCTTGGCAATCTTGGCAGTAAGGCTTTCCTTGTAAATGTAGTAACAAATTAGAAATCAGTCACTCAGGTGTTCAGGAAAAAAAAAATAAGTGAACATAGTTTTCTATCAATATGTTTAAGTTAAATGCTACATATATCTTGAGATGTATCTTGATTAAAAAATCTTCCAAATGTCGTAATTTTCTTCCTGGATGGTGAGATTTTACCTTACACTCTCTGACTTTATTCTCTGAAAGCTGATTGTCCCCAGAGAAGTATATTTTAATCATATGAATAATGTACTATACATAATCCATAAAAGGGTTTTCCTCAGTTACATGGGGATTCAGATCACTATAATAACAAATTCTATACAAAAATCTAAATCCTGTATGGAAAGGAAAATCTGTCAGGTGTGGTGGTACGTGCCTGTAGTCCCAGCACTCAGGAGGCAGAGGCAAAAGAATTGCTGCAACTTCAAGGCTAGTTTGGTCTACATAGTAAGTTCCAGGCAATCCAGGGATACATATAGTGATCCTGTCTAAACCATAGGAAGGCTACAATCACTCACTCTTACAAAAATTATGAGTTTTGATTTTATAAGTATATGTATCTTCATAAGTAGACTGTGATTGAATGAATTTTCAGCTGGCTTAGTTCTGCATACTAAAGGTCTACATATTTTCTTCACACAAACAAAACAATTTTATGCTGCTATTAATTTTACTCTTTTCCCAGCATGTCTTCTTTCCAAAAGTCTAGAAATCAACACATTGAAGTAATTATGTGCATTCAGATATCACTCACCTTTAGAGAATCAAAACAGGCCACCACACGGCCATTTTCCACATGGCAAACTCTTGGCGGATGGGCAAACCTGCACTCTGCGTCAGTTCGAGAGCAAGTTCCTCTCTGAAATTCTCTACAAACTTCTAAAGTCAGCCACTTGGTATCACGAATTAGGGCAACACTGACAGCCGTCATATTGAAAGCAAAATGACAATCAAGTGCACACTCTTTCGGACAATATGACTGTAGATGATTCAAGGAGCAAAAGCGAATCTGAGCCAAAAAGAGAAGAGAACAGGTTGCTTTGGTGGAGTGTCTATTTGTTAGCACTTAGGTTCTCACTGAAGTCAAAGTCTATCTAGTCAAACACAAAAAGGCACTTATGAAATTGAGGCTGTATCGGAATAACTAAAAATCAAATTAGAGACGAGGTTCTAAAAGGCAACTATAAAGGTTAAGATATTGAATGTTTTATTGTCTTCCTTTGCCGAATTTGCTTCAAATAACTGGCAAACTTTCAAAAGAATTCAGGACTGTCTAGTTGATGTTTTCAATTATTCTTACAAAAAGCATATGTTGCTGGCTGCCCTTCAATTTGTGGAATGGTCTCAGATAAGGGAGAGAAAATTTTGTCTCCCTATTTCTGTGCTGTGAAAAATAAGGTTGGGGAGGATACTACAACCTAAGAAATGTTTTGCTGCAAAGCTAAGGGGAGGGAAAATGACTAAGCAAACTGAGAATGAGAGAAAAAAATAAATGGACAAGTTGCTGACAGTGACTACAAGCATACCAGGTTTTGTAGGGGCAGGAGCAGGGAAGGGTGCGTGGCAACAGGGATTTGAAAAGAGATAGCTCTAGAGTAGAATCCAAGCAGCAGAGTTTTCAGAAAAGGCAATTTTCAGAACCTGCAAGAAAAAAGAAATGAAATTAGCTAAAACACTACAATGCTTCCGTTTCAAACTCTAGATTTGGAAAGAAAAGTACCTGCATCCTATATAAAACAGGAAGCATCCATACACTGCCAGCACAACATAGTACCGTCAGCTAAATTGTCAATAAAAAAAAGGGCATTTCCCAGTGTAAAACTTTTCAGAGTAAAAGGAAGCAACTCTTTAACTATACCATTGTGCACAAAACTGGGCAACATCGTAATTTTTTAAATGATGGCTTATTTTGATCTGTTCAGGGTAGAAATTCATTTTGGTGTCCACTGTGCAGAAAATGTCACTGATTAACCTGATGGCCCTTTAGACATTCACAATCTACTTGTATTTTCCAGTTTTTAGAGGCTCCAAAAAGTCTGTCTTTAAACAGACTTTATCATAGTCTGATTATGGCCTCTATTATCTGGTCTCAAAATTCAGAACTCAGGGATTGCTAAGAAAATTTAAGTTGTTCTGAAGCATAACGTGTGTATGGGAAACACACATGAAACACTCATTTCATATGAGGTAGAATGGAGAATGGAAATATAAAATGTGCTTCAGATTTAATAAAAAAGAAATTTTAAGACACCATGGATTGTTTTTCCTGGGTGTACCTCTTAATCTTTATGACAGGAGATTGAACCAACTTAGATTTCAGTATATGCAAGTGAGGGAAACAGAAAGCACTGTTCAGCAAACATTAAATATTATGCAGCCTGAAGTCGACCAACAATAGTAGCAAGCAACTCAGCAGAGAAGATACATACAAGGTTAGTTTGCTGGCGATCTGCCATGCACACAAAGCGGAGTACCACTAAAGAAAAAGTAAGCTCTCTGAGTATCAGACAGAGCAAATCATTTGTTAATATCACCCAAAATAGACGGAAAACTCTAGAAAACGTTTCACTTAACTTTTGACTACTTTCAATCACTTTACAGAATCTGTTTTATGCACATTCAAGAGGAAATCTAACATCACTGGATTTTTCAGGTGTTATTAGGAAATGAAGTACCTGGGAAATTCAAGCAAGTCGATGGCAAAATGTGTTTTTCTCTTACTCGTTCTTCATGGAAATCTTTCTTACAATGTACTGAACCTAAGTTGGCCTTTGGTTAAAGACTTAGGGTCATTAATGTCTTGGGAAGTACTACAGTTCTACTTGAGGAGCAAACTGCTGTGACTTCTACAACCACAGTGGATTTTCTAGTTCCCTTCTGGAAAATTTAATGGTAACTGTGAATGTAGAACTAGAGTTAGTTACTGAATAAGGGGCCGATAGGCATGGTGTAGGCTTCCATAGGGGAAGTTCCAGAATTACTCTCACCGCTCTGAGGGCCCTTTTACACTGTGTTGCACGAATAACCATGATCTAAAGGGTTAAGATTGTCAGACAAATGATGTAAAATAGTGCAATTGCTATGAAAAAAAATTCTGAAACCTCCCCAACATGCTAAACAGAGTTACCATATGACCTAGCACTTCCATGCCTCAGTATATGCGCAAAATAATGGAAAACAAGCTTCAAATGCTTGGAATGCTTACAGAAGCATTATTTAAAAGTCAAAATGTAGAAACAGCCCAAGAATCCCCCAGTAGATAAAAGGATAAAAAATGTAGTGTGTTCAGAAAATGGAACACCATTCTGCTACTAAAAGGAATGAAATATTGATAAATGCTATAACAGATGAATCTTGAAAATAATATAGTAAGTAAAACAAGCCAGTTTTCATGGTTTCATTATATGAGAAATCTATAATAGTAAAATCCACAGAGAAAGAAACAGACTGAGTTGCTGACCAGAGCTTAGAGGAGGAAAAAGGGGAGAATGAATGGTTAATGGGCATAAGGGGTCTCCTTTCAGAGCAATGAAGTGTTCTGAATTAGTGGTGATGTTTACATAATTTTTAATATAACCTATTCCATGAATCAACCACTTTAAATGAAAAAACTGAATAGTATGTGAACTATGCCAACAAGGCTGTTATTTCTTTGTTATATTTTATTTTTTTACTTTATGTGTATGAGTACTTTTCCTATACATATGTGCATGTAGTGCCTATGGAGGCCAAAAGAGACATTGGATCCCCATATGGACCTGGGAACTGAACCCCAGTCCTCTGCAAGAGCAACAAGTGCTCTTAGCTACTGAGCCATCTCTTCAGTCCTGTACTCTTTTTACGTCTAAAGACCATGGTAACCAAAAAATTAAAAAGAAAAAAGATAGAAAAGGACTCTCTAATGAGTAATGGGATTGGCTATCCCAACCTTTCTTACATTTACCTTAGACCTGAAATCTTCTCAGCAGTGTTATTTACTAAGTTCAATTTATAATGTAAAATCAGTTTGCATATTTGTAAGCGGCTTAATATATTATAGAAAGCACACTGAAAGAGTGTGCTCTGGAGTTTGCTAGTTTACATTCAAACTTAATCCTACAACTAAATTATATAGGCTGCCCGAACACATGTGAAAGAAAAACAACTACAAAAAGAATATTTATAAGGACTGAGGATTTGCTCAGAACATAAATAGTAAAGATCTGGAGAAAGACTTCTCTACAGAGGACCATCAAGTACAGACACAGATATAAATAATAAATTTGAATTTTGAACTTAGACAAATGAAAAATGCAAACAGGAACTGGCCTCTGGCCATGGATTTTATGTAATGTCAGGAGTGGGAGAACAGGATTTTTTTTCTTGGCCTATGATCTTGGAATGGGACCTTGGCCAATTCCTCGATACAGTTTTAGTCAGCACATACCTTTCTTCAGGGTGGAAATATATGGGGGAATAGCCGAAAAGAAACAAGGTCGACAAAAGGAGCTGGTGTGAGAGCAGAGAGTTCTCTCATGCTGCTTTGCTTTTGAAAGACTGTATAAAAGACAGGGCTTCCCTACATCTTAAGATGCACTTTGGTTTGGGGCAGTAAAACTTTCACTTCGCTGTCTTCTATTGGAGTAATAGGACACAGTTTGTCTTTTTATGATTTTCAGTCCTGTATAGAATACAGAGCATGAGCAGCTACCACTTCTTGGTAATTTTGTATTTTATTGTATTTGCAGGTTACACATGCTTGTATTGCATTGATCTTCGGATCTCTCAAAACGACCACAGCTCTTTGTTGGTGGTACTTTTTAAAAAAAATTAAAAATGCTGAGGATGGATCCCGAGCCTTGATCATGTTATCTTAAAATACTCTAAGCCATGAGCAATGACCTAAATAGTCTGATGAAAGAAATGAAACTCACAGAATTTAAATTACTTGTTTGACATTACTAAGCTATGAGTGGTTGAGTCATGACTCTGGGCAATATCTTCTGACTCCAAGTCTTGTGTATGGATCTTAACAGAGAGTATTTCTTATCTCTCTTAGGAATCTCAAACAAGGAAAGCCAGTCATTTTGTGGTATACTTAGGTTTCCTTCACAAAATTCCATTCTTGCCTGGTGTATATCATCACTTTCAAAATATCCCAATGTTGTGCTGAACTAACATTCATCCAGTAACTGTTGTGTGCCAGGCACTGTTGAAGATACTGAGAAGGTCCTTCATCTTACATAATTTCCTATGTTCATTTTGATAGAGCACTAATCTAAGATCGAGAAAACTGGATTATTAGAGTTTATGAAAGGTTGAAGTAGACACTAGGCATTGTAACTTCAACACAAGCCTCTAATTCTCGATGAGTGGAACAGTAAGTACCATGACTTAATACTCTTAAATCCACATTTAAACACTATTGCATAGAAGTGAGTCAGCGAGAGAAATACCTCAGCATTATTCACACTGAGGTTTAGTGTGAATAAACCTGCTTGGATTCCTCTTGGGGAGGATTCTACATATCTCATCTTACATATGGGGAAATGGAAGGAGAGAAAGGTTAACTAATTAAGTTGCACAACTTCATGTAGCTAAGCAGGCAATCCAGCCATGGTTCAAGCTGTCGTCTGATTCCATAACCTTCCTTTTCAATCATACCAAAATGTTGGATCTTTTTTGTGGCAAAGATCACATTCTTCATTATTCTATCTGACTGCACCTCTTTGCTCTGCTATTAAATTCCCTGACAGTAGAGATCATGGCTTCCTCAGTTTTGCTGGCTTTATCTTGTAATCAATCAGAAGTGCAAGTATCAAGCAGGGCATGGTGGTATGTGACTTTAATCCCAGTACTGGGGAAACAGGGGCAGGGGATCTCTGTGAGATGGAGGTCAACCTGGTCTAGACAGTGAGTTCCAGGCCAGCTGTGGCTGCAGGGAGACCCTGTCTCAGAAAAAGAAGTACAAGAATTGGTGTGCTCCCAAGGATTCCTAGTTTGAAGGATATTAAGATGTATGGCAATTTAACATTGACCCTTCAGTTATACCATGGTAGAAAAGAGTTTCATCAGTGAGCACCTTCTGATTTATGGGCTTTGGCCACCTCTCTAGGTTTGTAGCCCATTGGACCAGTAAAATTGGGTATTTCCGTTCAAATTAATGTTCATCTTTGTAGGAGTGCCAGATAAAATATAAGGAAACTATAAAATTCAAATTACACATACACTAACCTCACTATTATGTGCATCTTTGGAAAAAAATCGGACTATGCTTTTTTAAGGATTCCTATCTTTTCTCACAGAAATTATAATGAAGGAAAACAAAAGAAGAAGGAGCTGTTTTCTATTGACTTACAGAAATAGGAAATTATTCCAGAATTGTTGTAAGCCCACTGCCATTAGCTACTTTTGCCCCATTTTCCTACACTTTTCCTTATCTTGTCCTTTCTTCTGCTCCTTCCTGTAAACCAGTACATAACATACAGACATGGTCAATGCCTAGTTAGTCCAGAAGATCACAAAGATCCTTTTTCCGGCACCCAAACCAATAGCTAAGGAGGGACTCCTTTAATTGCATTTGTAGAACTCCTAACTGAACAATGAACACAATGTTTTCTTTCTTTCCATTTTAAGCTTTCCTTAACATCTGTGTTACTTCT